GGTCCTCTGGGAGAATACTATTGCCCTTCTCTTAATCACTCCTTTCACTTAAGGTTCCTGGACAAGTGCTCCTCCACATACCACTTTGATCTTCCAGTCCCTCCGCCTTGCCTACAAACCAGCCCCTTGCCCTCCCTTCTACCCTCTCTTAGCTACTCTTGTTGTTCCTTGGGTAGATTCAGTAGTCTTCCCAGTCTCTAGTTGTTCCTTAACACAACATGGAATCATTCACCAGCTCAGTCAGTGAGGTGTCTTCTCAATGTCTGGAGCTAGATTCGTGTCCCCATCCTGAACTCCATTACTCCTCAACCCTGTCCTCCCATCTAACCAGTCAACCCCAAGCTAGTTCCTATTCCAAGTTCCATCCTTATGACCCACCCTTCCCTGCCAGATCCTTAATAAGGAGCTTGACACAAAATTTGGAGCCCTCTAAGTACCTTCATTCTGATTCTGGTATCGCTCCCTTCTCTCTCTTGCTCCCCATGTTGCTGACCAACCTGTCACTTCCATCTTGCTCTCTGTTTTCCATCCTGCCTCCCTTAGGTGACTCCTGTGCTCTGCATCCTCCTATAGCCACACTTTTTGCTTTTTTTTTACTTGTGATTCCCTTTTTTTTTATTTAGTTATAGGTAACAGAATATCTTTAGTTTATTTTTATATAGTGCTGAAGATTGAACCCAGTGCCTTACACATGTTAGGCGAGGGCTCTACCACTGAGCCACAACACCAGCCCTCCTTTCTTTTCTTTGTCTTCCTGGCCAAGGACAGGCTTCTTGCCTCATCTGTGACCTATACTTATCTAGTGACCTAGTGTCTTCTACATCATCAGATTCATGCCTGCCCCCCCAACAAACACCCAGTAAGAGACTGCTCTCTTGAACCCACCCTCACTGCTCAATCTCTTTCTTCTTTTCCATATTCCTCTGATTTTCTAGAACTATCAGCTGTCACCAACTATATCTTTCATTGATTTTGACCTAGCCTTCCCCTGGTGGCCTTTTCCAATCCAAACTTTTATTCTTTTCTCTTCCTGTTCCATTAGGGTTTTGCTGGTTCCCTCAGAACTACAACCAGTCCTTAACTTCCTGCTCTGCATCCTTTCCTCTTCTTTGTCACTTCTGTTTGCCACCAAGAGGGCTCATGAAGCAAAGTGCACCCCTGCCCATTGCCCTGGACGCCACCTGTCTCTTCAGTGCAGATCTCCCATTTCTTCATCCTTTGTTACTGTCATTAATTTCAAAGCACTTTCGTTCGGTGTTTAACATTGTCTTCTTACATAGGGCCCACTCTCCAACCACTTCCTTCCTCTTTTCTCCTCTGAACCATAACTTCCAAAAAAGAAGCCAAGCCCCAATCTGTACATTCCCCACAGCCATTGCTTGATTCTGCAGTAATAGTTGGCTCTTTCGCCACCTTCTTGCATCAAAACTATAATACCCCTTCACCAAGCAGATCCCCCTATGGGTCTGTCTGCCAGACACTCCCTTTCAGCCACCCTTGAACAATGGAAGAACATGTTTAGTGGTCAGTGCAAAATGCCTGTTTCGCACTGGTTCCCAACTGCTCCTCTACCATTTGCAAGCATCTTTCTCTCATGTATTGAACTTACTCTGCCTGTGTCTACCCCATGTCCCTACAGTACCTATACTTCCATCTGTGTAGATGTCACTTGAAGTGCAGCACCATTTAACTCAACTCACTTTATCCCTTTACCCTCTTTCCCTAAAGGGCCCGGATCTGTAAACACCTGGACTTTTGATTCTTTGCTCTGCTTTGCTCTGCCTATAAGATGGGCATTAATAGCCCCCATCTCAACATCTTGCTTCATGGAATCTGCTGATGCCCTCAGTTTGCAAACTCTGCATCCTACTTTCCCCTTTTCCATATTGGCACCTATACCACACTGACCATTTCTAATGAAGTGGTCCTCTCCTGTCCAGACCATCTCCCATTCCTTTTTTTTTTTTCTTTCCCTTCTCAAGTCCCTCATACCACCTTCTTATGGCAGCCCAATTGCTGTTTCTTACTTTCTACTCTAGATGTGGATTTACCACTTGCCAAGCAATTCTGTTATCTTCCAGAAACCCTCTACTTCCTCTCTACTGTCCAATTGTACTTCCCTACATCCAAGTTAGTCCATGGGCTCAAGGTTCTTTCCCTCTGCATTTGCTTCCTTCCTGACTTTTGCTCACTGTGGTCACCATTGCCAGCTGCTTTGTTCCCACCATGCTCTATTAAATCTATCTGTTTTCCCCTAAAAATCTACATGCTGGAAACATTTAATACCCCTCTTGGAGTTGTTCCCTAGCCTTTCATTATGTCAATATGCCCTTCATTGAACATTGGTCCACAATATTTTTAAGGGGCCACTACTTGTGCTGATTCGCTCTCCTTTGGCCTCCTCTCATCTCTCTTGCATCCTCACTTGTCTTACTTATGTCATGTTTTTTTCTCATTCATGGGTTTATCAGGTAATTTGCCAAAGTTTGAGAGAAGAGTTTCTAGATTCTTAATGTTCACACCCTCTCCTTCTTAGCCTTGTTTCTCTAGGTGCAGTCCCTTTCCTGATGCTCCCAACAGCCCTCTTTCACAGCATCTGCTGAGACTTTACCTTCTGTTCTTTCTCATTCTTCTTAGCCAGCACATTATATTGCCTCTCTTATATCATGCCCCCTATGGTCTGTAAATTCCTCATCTGCTCTCATTTGAACCTAACTTTTTTTTTTCCTGCTTTCCTTTTTACTGCCTAGCAAAGTACTGTCATAACTTCCCTATCTGCATTCTTTCAGCTAATATTTGTCATTGCCCAACTGATTCTATAGAACTCTCAGGACTATTCCTTTCTTAGCCTCCACCCATACCCACTATTCCACCATATTTTAGCATCTTTGTGTCAGACAGAATAGCAAGTCCACATACAAATGGTGATATCCCTGTGGCTCTAGTGTGGGTTCTTTCCAGCTCCTCCCACCTAAGCTCCCGGTAATCTTCATGTTTCCTTCATATTCTTTCTTTCAGATCCTACTGAAAAATCTCTTGGGAACCATATTCTTGTTCACCTGCCACAATTTGCACAACATACTTTTTTCTTCTGCCTTCACTCCTGCCGCACATACCTGCAACACATTCTCCCACTCTCAACCTGACTTGCCTACCCCTGACAACTGTCTCTTCCTAGACACTCCCATCCATCCACCACCTCTCCTCCTCCTCCCTCCTCAATACTCATCTGCTCCATGAACTCACCTTCAGTGCTGGCTCCACTCCCCTCTGCCCCTTCCTTCCCTGTGTGCTACCAGCCTGCTCCTCTCTGCCCACACACCCACACATCGTCTTCCTATGTGCCACCCACCCTTCTCAGCCTCACTCTTCCACCTCAGTCCTCAGCTGGAACCACACTGTTGGTGCTGCTGTCCCTGCCCTTGGCAGAAAACCCCCACTCAGCCTCCA